AAGTAAAAGTACCTTGAATTTGTACTGTAATTGAGTAAACACATTAATATTATTCTCTGCCACTTGAAAGAGAGTAATTCTCAAATGGACTACTCTCTGGAAATCTTCATCCTTCATCCAATTAACATAATACTATGACACTTAATACACACTACTGTAGGTTATTCTAGGTTGGCATATTCTCACCTCAATCATATGTAAGTGGACATCACTTGACTGACAGATATCTGTTTTTTATTGATCCAAACTCATAACTTTGATATATTGTTAAACCACTGCAGCAGCGTAACCTTAGTGTTTCTTTTGGGGCTTCAGGATCAGGTTCAATAATCTGTCCTCTCATCGATTCTGGACATGAATATCAAACAGAGACATAAAAGTTGAAAAACATTTTTCAAATATAAAGGCTTGGCTCTCATCACATCAAACTAAACTTTGGCCTCCATTAAGCAAAAATAGAAATAACCTCTATTCTTCTTACTCCACTGACAGAGGAGTACGTGATGAGTGAGAGAGGCCAGCAGCCATCAAAGGAACGTTGGGATGCTTCCCAGATTCCCGTCTCGTTCTCGCTCATTTCTCCGAGCACAGAGTCGGATTTGGGGAATGCGGGAATCGTGCGAGGAGCCCCCAAACTGCCATTGTGCTCGACTCCCTCTCTTTCTCTGCTCTTTTCTCAGTGAGCCAAACGGGAGAACGCCCGCGCTACAATGCCTCCCCTACTCCATCTCAGCTAAGCTGTCATTGGCTTCACATGAGAAACAATGAAACTTCATCGGAGACCAGATTACAAAAAGAGGGGGGTTCAATGTAAAAAAATTGTTCTAAGGGGGGGGGGGGGGNNGGGGGGGGTTGTGGAAATAAAAAAGGCAGAGGCTTTTGTCTCTTTCTCTCTGTGGCCATTATCTTTTGGGAGGTTTGGGGATCTGCTTTCTTAGCCTCTGTCAGCGGTGCAGGGTAAGACCTGGGGTAGTACGACTGGGCTTTTGGCTGCCAAATCGCCCTAACCCTCTTTACCACTCTTTTTTTCTCCTCTCGTTCCTTTTACTGTTTTTAAAAAGAGCTTAGAACAGAGCATTTCTCTCTGTCTCTTCCCCTCTCGCTCTCTCCCTCTCTCTCTCTCTCTTTGGACCCAGCTTGTTTAAATTGGCTGATAGGAAGGGATTTGGGATGGATGGAGGGGGCTTAGAGAAACGCAGAGTGGAGGGGTTGGAGGTGGGTGGGGGGTTGCAGAGAGTCATCAGTGTTACAGTCAAACAGCCATGAAAAGCCTATGAGGATGAAAAGAACAAGAGCGCTTTTTTATCTAATACACACAAATCCCATATAAATACTCCAATATGTTAGTTGGGGTATGACAAGGAATGCCCCTCCATCACTTCCTCCCACCACCCCCCCATCCCA